ACGCTCTATTTGGACGGCAACCAGCAATGCCTTGCTCTGGACCGCGAGCAGCCGGCGGAAACATCAGATCATTCTCGTTGACAGACAATACGCAGGGTATGTATTGAAGCTATCACACAGGCAACGGCAGTAGCTAAGACCAATCGTGTCTCACGCACTAAGACGACAATTACCGGTCAGCACTATAATGACGAAGGAGACTTGGTCGACTACCATCGCCCTACGACCGCGAAGGATGATTGGGGAGGCTGGAACGGCCCGTCCCCAGTCGTAAGGAATGATCCCGAATGGGGTCGGGTCATCATCCGAGTAGGTTCAAGCACATTACGGCGATGCAAGACATTCACAATACATTGAAGCACTCATAGCCCGAGAGATTGGCTCCGACATCACTGCACTACGCACAGCGTTGACACTCGTAGCCGGCCTATCAGCGGGGAGACCTGCCCTGATTTGTTTTGGCTATGTGCCGACCAAGAAAGGTACGCTTCGGATGACGACTGCATGTCGTCTATCCCCTGAGGTACACTTGGCCCGGCAATTTCTTAGCAGAAGCCTCTTTCGCATTGAGAATGTAGTTTCGGTCAGATTAGCTAAGAGTATCCACGAGCTACCTCCGGTTACTTGTGCTGACAGCTGCACATTGGTCCATTGCGACAGCGACGTGGAACCAGGATTCTACTACAACGAAGCAGAAGGTACCTCTGAATACACATGAATTACTGGACCAGCGCATTCACGAATCATCTTATGCTTGAAGTCCACTAGACCTCAGGCAGGTTTCGATCAGGACTTGTCAAAGTTTGAGGACTTGGCTGATGCGCCGACACTGGAAGGAGTCACAAGAGAAGCTTCAGAAGCCGAGCCAGCACATGATGACGGGCGGCTCTTTACGATTTACGAGAAATCAGAAGCTGATATTGAGTCGCATGTTATGGAGGTGTGGTACGCAGAATTGCAAGAGGAATGAGAGCTGTTGGAGGCAACTCCACTAGAGGACCTCTTTACCATACCCACACAGATGGTTCCTGATCAGAGCGAGCTGATCACTGTAGCTGATGAACAGTGGGGACACCTGCCGAAGCGGGGGGCGCACTCGCGACTCCGATGCCGAGGAGACGTACTACGCCCCCCTGTGCACCATGGTCGAAGACGACAGCTACGGACTCGACTCCGACGAAAATTGTCGATACGTTGAACTGTGCCTTACGACAGAAATTTCGAAGGTAGTCTTGCCCGAGCAGCAGCGCATGATATTAGATGCCGACGGGGCGGTCACTATGCGAGTATGCGTTGCCGCCGCTGCAAAGCGAGCCGTGGTCGTCAAGGAAGACGACCTCCTCGCTACAGCTGGCATCCAGGCGAATCCCGAGAAAATATGGAATGCTTTTTCACTGAGCTCAAGACATGGTTCGACAATGCTTGAAGATGCAGGAGACAGCCACAGCGTCGAACATCGCGACTTCGAGGTACGTGTACACATTGAAACTCGTGAAGAGAGAAAAGTGCGAGATGGAACGTGCCATCCGGCTACGCATGTTACTCCGAGGCTTCATGGACTTTGTAGTTTTCGACGTAGAACAAAGATTTTCGGGAACAGCAAGAAGGTCGAGCCAGAGGTTTCTCGCTAGCACGGCGGCGTGCAAGAAACAGTGGATCATTGCTTCCCTCGGCATCAACATGGCCTTCCTGAAGGGATTGGCCGATCAGGAACTTGCTGAGGCTACTGGTGAAAAGGAACGTGGCGTGCTTTACCTTGCCGCCTGGATCGGCCACTGTGCTCCGTGCTCTTCCAGGATTCGAGAACTACGACGAGTCAAAGCACTGCCTGCAGCGCTTGAAACCGGGCACAGGCACTAAGGACGCCCCACGGGCTTTCTCACTTAAGCTCAGAAGAACCACCAGAGGATTCGGCCTCCGACCCACGTCTTACGACGAGGAGTTCGAGGCGAACAATAACTTGCCCACGGCCAAGCATGTTGATGTCATATGGCCGGTACTGAGGACACCATTGACAAACATGTCAAATGCGTTGTGTATTATTTCGGTAAGTTTAAATTCTACAAGCACACGTATAATAACTGCGCTGTGAGATACACGATACACTGAGGACGAGGACGGCAATGCTACCTTGGATGAGTATGATAACATCGAACCGCTCCGTCCTATACAACATCCCGGACTAACTCGCGCTGGCGCTGACGCTCAAGCAACCAAGATGGTGGCGGACATGTTCGTCAGTCTCAGGGGTGCGCTGGCATACGCACTGATCACCCAGGTGTGGTTAATGGTGTATGTTGTATCTCTACAGCGTGTCCAAGAAACGACCAACATTCAAGTGCGCCGACTAAATGCGATCACCAGAAAGTTATAGGCCTGCCCGAAGAAGATCGTCTACCAGGCGATGAACCCCACGGGTGAGGTCGACTTACATTGCGACTCACGCTACCGACGCCTGAGTGGAGACGCCGCCGACGACGTCAAAGGCTATGGTATTCGCGGGGCAAACCTGCTACGATGTGGAAACACGTCATCTGGTAAGCCTGTCGTTCACTTGGTTGACGCGCACTGCAAGTCTCACCGCTTGCAGGTCCGCTCGAGCTATTCAGTAGAGACTAGCAGCAGCCCATAATTTGGATAATTTGGAGGGCTGTTATCCCGCGATTGTGACTCTGCGCGAGCCCCACGCGGGGCCGCTCACGCCCACTCGTTTGAAACATATACTTGAGTTGGGTGGCCTGAGCATCAAGGTCACTTGGACCATCGATGCTGAGTCAGTTTCTAAGCCTTTGCCAAACACAGACTTGAAGAAGCCGGCTGGTTCTACCCTTTTAGGACACATCAGTTGGATACGACCGATGATGGAGCGTTAAATCGTGCACACCCGCGACATGACTGCGGATGGCCAAGCCAAGGGGAGCATCGACAGAGAAATGCTCCTACGAGTCATGGGAGGTATAAAGACCTTCAACCATGACCTGAAGAGACATACTCCAGATCGGGCCGGCCAGACATCAAACTCTGACGCCGCCTGATAAGTATGCCATACATTTGCGAGGCAATTTGCTGGCGGGTCCACCTTCCTTTGGGCCCGTCTCCTTTCCTGTCCTTGTGTATGTTAGCTTCTGAGCTGCGCCTGCTGTATAGGGGCGTCGGGCTCGCGCTTCGTCTCCCCCCTTCCCGACTCTGAAGCGAGCTGAGGGACGTAAGAAGTGGAAGCGAGCGCGCGCCCGCGGCCGTGTTGGCTCAAGCGGCTGGCCGCCCAGATTTGACTGTGCCTCGCCGCGAGGCACACACTCGCTACCGAAACCAAAAGGAGCTTCCTATTGCTTGAGATGGCATCTCCTCTTCTGCTGGGACTATCGCTACTACGATACAACAGAGCAGGAGCTTGGCTTCGCCTGAGGCGAAGCTGTTGGCTGGGCCTCCCAGCCCCCTTCAAACTTCATGGGGGCCTCTTGGGGGCCTCTTCAGGGCCTCTTAGGCCATCTTGGAGCCATCTTGGGCCGTCCTGGAGGCTTCCTGGGTAAGCCTGGAGGCACCTTCGACGCTCTTGGGCTGGCTTGGATGCCATTTTGGACCACCCTGAGCGAACTTGAGGGCCATTTTGGTCGTCTTGAAGGCAATGTTGGGCCATCTTGGCCGTCTTGGGGGCGATGCGGGTCATGAGGGGTGATTTTTCTGCAGCTTTCTGGGTGGCTTGCGCGCTAGCCCGGAGAAGCCGCACAGGGTTCAGCATTCCAGGCATCCCTGTGGCAAGCCAACAGGGGGGCGCGGGTGAATGGCCTTCGGCCTATCTCGCCACCGTGCATGGGTTGCGGGTCACAAGCGGATGTCGCGGGAGGCCTCTCGGGAGCTTCTTTGGGGCCGTTGGGAGGCCTCTTGGGCGCCGTATTGGGGCCTCTAGGGCGTCTCGGAAACCCCCATGGGCCTCTGGGGGGCCTGCTGGCGCCTCCTTGGGGCCTCCTGGGGTTGGGGCGAAAAGGCTCAGACTTACCATTCGTGTTCCCCCTCTGGGGCCCTTCCTGGCGCTGTCTTTGAGTCCTCTTGGGCCGTCCTGGGCGCCCCTGGGGCCGTCTTGGAGTCCCCATGGGCCGTTTGGGGGCCCGCTTGGGGGCTTCTCGAGCCGTCTTGGGGCGGTCTTGGTGGCTTTTTGGGCCGTCTTAGAACGTCGGAAGCTCGAAACGTGGAGGACCCCCCACACATTGGAAACCATACGGACAATCAATGATTCTGGCCTCTCGGAGCCTTCGTCGGACAGCTCTTGGAGCTCTTTCGGGGCGCTTTGAAGGCTTATTGGGCCGTCGAGTCGTGGGGCCATCTTGGGCGTCTTGGTCCGATCGTGCGGCGATGCTGGGCGCTCTTGGACCGTCTGGGCGGCCTCTTGGGGCCCTCTGGGTGCGTCCTGGGGCACTCTTGGGCCCGAGAAGTCACGCGAGAAGATGCCCCAAGCCCCAGGGGGCACGCTGCAAGCCCCAAGCATTTGAAAATATTGGTCCCAGGCCCCTTGAAGAATTCTCAGGATTGGGGACTGGGTGAGGCTTGAAGGACTAGGCCAAGGACCTGAGGCCACTCCAACTCGTGCCTCCAGGACACGATGGCGCATAATTGAAGATACATTCTTGTTGCTAAAAGCTTGGCATTGCTCGGACGCGTGCATTTTTTCTCGGTGAGGCGAGCGCCATCAAATCTGGACCATTTTGGAGCATCTCGCAGCGTCGCTTGAGAAACAAAAGCACGCACGAAACCCAAATCATGTGCGGGGAACAGCCGTCCGAGCAATGACAACACAGACACAAATATACATGTATACGTATACATCCACACATATAAGCACACATACACATACGTATGCGTTTTTATGTTTACCTATTTACATACGTTGATATGCATATGCGCAGATATACATAATGTTCACACAAAACAGAGGGAGCTCTGGGATTCTGTTGAGGCGCTAGGTGTCCAGGGATTCCCCTCCCCGCCGCGGCCGCGCCTCGGAGGTGCGCCCGCCAGTCGGCAGTATGAGGGCCAAGGGGCTCGTGTGCCCCGGCCTCGGCAGCATCTTCCGGCCACCGACGGCGCCGCGACGCGGGGGCTTCCCCCCCTCGATTGTAGAGATGCATTTCTCTTTTCTCCTCCTCCTTTCTCCTCCTCCTCCTTATCCCTCCTCCTCCTCATCCTCCTCCCCCCCCGCGACGCTGGAGAGAAAGAATAATGGAGAATGTCTCGACCATCTGCGACAGTCTCTCATTGCGGTAAAAGATCGACGGAGGGTTTTTGCGAGTTTTCGGTTCCGGATCATCCAAAAACGCCTCGGGATGAAAGCCGGTCCTGGGGAATGGGTCCAGACCTGGTCTTTCGGGAGCCAGGCTATGAACAAAAAGCACGACGTCGGATGTCTGAGATCCTCCTTCTCCCTCCATTCGGTACGAATGAGATTATTAAATTACGGGAAGACTGGGTACGGAGACCCGCAGCAGTTCCTACCAATTTTGAGCAGGATTGGGTGACTGTGTCGTTGCGGACGTGGGGCATGAGGGCGTTTTTCCAACAGCGGCCGCTGTGGTATTTGAACAACACCTGCTGTTGGGCATCGCTCCCATTTTTCCAAATCCAGTCCAGGTGGGCCAATCTATCCTCCTCGATGTAGACTTTCGGAGGTCGCCGTGGAGTCCTCGGATCGTCGCTGGGCCCCTCCAGCGGCGCCTCTGGCACCGCCCCTGGCGCCAGAGGCGTCAGAGGGGGTCCAGCGCCGATCCACGACTTTCGCGCGGACCTTCGAAAGCTTTGTTTATGCAGTGTTTGTTTCTTCGACCCTATCCTCATCCCTCTTCCCCCCCTCTCCCTCTTGGTTTCTGGAGGGTTGCAGGCCTGCTCAGCCCGTGTGCGCCCAACTTGTTTTTTGAATGGGGCCATGTTGGCGAATATGGAGATCTCTTGTTTTCCTGCTCGATCATCTTAGACGCCTTTGCAGCTCAGGAGGCAAGCCGCAAACAAATGTTGGGAGTATTCTCAATGTTTGCTCTCGGAACGCTGTTGAGGGCATGTACTCGCCAATGGTTTTTTGAAGAGAGGCAATCCGTGCAAGTTCTGTGTCCGCGAATTGTGTTTGGAGTGGGGCAGGCTAATGGAATCTAAGTGTTCCCGAAAGTTGGTTTGACGGAGACAGGCCCTTGCAATATGTTTTTATACATATGCCCACATATGGTAGGGACAAGTAGGCCTTTACAACTTATGAGTTTCCAGCTGTTTTTTCGAATGGGGCCCTGTTGATCAATCTTGGAGCTCTTCTGGGGTTCTCCTCGACTAGCTTAGACGGCTTCTCGGGATGAGGTGGCAAACCCTGGGGGATCAAGGGGGGCTAGCACGAGGAAGAGAAGGAGGAGGAGGAGGAGGAGGAGGAGGAGGGAGAGGAAGGGTAGAAGGAGGAGGAGGACACGGTTTTCACCTCAGGTTTTGCTTAACGTAAAAGGAGGAGGAGGAGGAGGAGGAGGAGGAGGAGGGGGAGGAGGAGGAGGAGGAATGCGATTAGGAACACATGAGTAAACCCAGAGTGCATGGACGATGCTGCAACACCCTCCCTCGCCGAGGCCCCTCCGCATCTTTTTCTCCTTGCACTTCTCATCACTGTGGGAAGCGCCTCCCTGAAATTCGAGCGCCCCATGGGCTTGCCATTCAGGCGAGAGCACCGTTTCCAAAAGCATCTGGCCTCGATCTTTGTAGCGAGCATACAGGTAGTGGCATGAGTTTCGTGGAAGTTTCAATTGAGAGCTCAGTCTTGAACGCGAGCCGACCTTCGTCTATTTACTTTGGTGTAGTTGTAATTTGCTGGTCGTAGATCCCGAAGTCGTCTCAAACATGAGCCCAGTTGTGAAACTGAACCCCGCTCCATACCGTTTATCTAGAGTGCAAGCTCGACTTCTGTGTCGCACAATTTGAATTCGTTGAAAGCGAGACGACCACTTGGAAAAGGAGCCGCCTTCCGCCCGTGTAGTTGTTGCGGTATTGGAGAGCGGCGCGAAGTCTTGGACCACAGTTTCAAAAGGACCGGCTTTCCGTCTCTTTGTTGCGTGAGCGGCGTTACGGCGAGAATCACAGTTCTGTAGCAGTTAACAGCTGTTAGAACAAATGCGCGCGGCGCTACGGTGGAAGACCCATTTACAGACCCGTCGTCCTCCACCCGTGTACTTGTTCAGGCTGGGAACTCAAGCTTGAGGAATCTAAGAGACCATTCCTTTCTTGCTTGGGGCATGACGGGCGTCATGGCCCCCGCCCCCCCCCCTATGACGTAACGCTCCCCCCCCCCAGTGCGCTCCGGGCACTGCTGCCGTGCGTATTGGGATCCGCGTAGGTGTCCGTATTGGGATGTCCTCGTGCTTAAAGCACGAAGACATCCCAGGCGACATACCCTGCTTGGTTCACTTGAACAGGCGGAGAGGGATGAGGATGAGGATGAGGACGAGGGTGAGGGTGAGGATGATGATGATAATCGTCATGATGCTGATCATGATACGATGATGATGCTGCTGATGATGAAGATGATGATGATGCTGCTGCTGATGATGATGCCGACGATGGCGATGATACTGATGATGATGCTGGTGATAATGTTGACGATGACCATGATGATGATTATGACGATGCGTTTTTATTATGTTCATGATGTTGCTGCCAATGATGATATTGGTGATGGTGACGATGATGATGCTGATGATGATGCTGATGCTGATGAGGATGATGATGATTATGATGTCGATTGTGATTATATTTATATTGATGCTGATGATGATGATACACAAAATGATGATGCTGATGGTGGTAGTGGTGGTTGTGGTGATGCTGATGATGCTGATGATGATGATGATGATGATTCTAATGCTGCTGCTGATGATGACGATGACGATGACGATGACGATGCTGACGATGTTGATGACGATGTTGATGGTGATGGTGACGATGCTGGTGATGCTGATGATGACGATGTTAATGCTTGCGATGATGATGATGATGATGATGATGATGATGATGATGACGATGGTGCTGATGCTAATGCTGATGCTGATGCTGATGCTGATTCTGCTGCTGATGCTGATGCTGCTGCTGATGATGATGATGATGATGAATCTTATGATGATGATGCTGACGGTGATGATGATGATGATGATGATGATGATGTTGTTGTTGTTGTTGTTGTTGTTGTTGTTGTTGTTGTTGATGATGATGATGATGATGATGATGATGATGATGATGCTGCTGATGATGATAATGATTATCACGCTGCTGCTGCTGTTGCTGCTGCTGGTGATGATGGTGATGATGATGCTGATGATGATGTCGATGCTGCTGCTGATGATGATTATGATGATGAGGAGGAGGAAGAGGATGAGGAGGAGGTGGTGGACAATGATTCAGAAGATGGGGATACACATGGAGGAGCAGGAGAAGACGCAGGAGGAGGCGACACAGGAGGACACGCGACTCGAATGACTCCATCGAGGAAACGAGGGAGCCACGACTGATTAGAGGAAAACGGGGCTATCCCGAAGCCGCGTGGGTGTCACCACTTAGGGGAATCCCCGTGCGCGGGTGGCACTTGGCCTTACGATTTCTTAAGGCCGTGGAACGAAGCCTACTGGTCTCCCAGTCGACAGGGCCATTACAGTTGGCCATCAACACTGGAGACTGGCGGGTGGATGCTGATCTCCCGCAGTTCAGACAGTAGACAAATGGGCCTTCGGTGACCATACGGTGTCCCCGAATGAGCTGAAAAGATGGCTCAGGGATACTAGACACAGTATCGGGCCCACTCGAGGCAGCGCTAGAGACAGCGGGCCCCCCCACTTCAGCAGCCCTGTTGCTTGCGACCGTCCACCCCTGATCGCCAACGGCGGTTCCCAGGAAACGATCCGTCGCTGCGAGGGCGATCGAGATGGCCTGCCGGCAGCGGCGCAGCAGAAGGAGCAGAGGCGGCAGAGTAACTAGGGGTGGTGTGCGCGAGCGCGCACCATCATTCTCTGCAGGGCCGAGGGCGCACGCTCTGCGCGCTCCAGTCGTCTCCACCCTGTCTCAGAGCTCGCCGAGACCAGACAACGGCCGCATTGCCAGCTCGACCCGCGCCGAACCAGCTGGTGGCGTTGCTGCACGAGCTGTGCAGGTGCAGGAGGTTTTGGGATGGCCTCGTGGATATCATCCATGGTCGAGCCGACCGCCGCCATCAGCCACGCCAGAAGCTTGGCCTGTCCCTTGGCGCCCTTTATCTTGGCGCGGAAGACGTAGTGGATGGTTTTGGGCAGCACGTGCAGCTGGGCCCCAACCTTTGCGAAGAAGTCGGCCCATGCATTGCCGCAGAAGTCGCCTGCCGGCACTCTGCAGGAAGAAGTCACATCTTTGTGCGCTGGACACCGTGTCGTCCCAGGTCGCGGGATGCTGTCCATCTGCTCGAACACGCCGCGTCAGATGTCAGCATGCTGGCCCCGCGCACTGGCCAGCGCAGGGGCTCAGCTCTAGATCTGGGAGGCCAGAGCCGACAAGTCAGTGACAGCATGGGAGACGTACGGCATAAGGCGCAGCATCTGCAGGAAAGCCCAGCGTTCCGCACGGCCGGCGGCCTGGCACCGCCCAGGCAGCGCGCCAAACACCGCCCTGACGGGAATGTTGTGGTCGTTCAGCTGCACTACGGCCCAACCGCAGCGGCAAAGCTCAGGCCACGCGGTGTCGAAACCCGACCCGTCGTGTTAGGCGATCGTTCTGCGTGAGTTGAGCGGCGATTCCCAATCGCCCCAAAAGCGCACCTCGGCCTCCAGGGTTGCCGGCCTGACCAGCTGCGGGAGGAGCGGCAGGCCGACCGCCAACTCGAAGCGGTCGTAGCCCTGGTGGGCAATGCCGACCCCAGCGCCATCCTTGATCCTGTCGCGTAGTTTGAGCAGCTTCTCGGGCAGCTCTTCCAGCTTCCCTCCGTCCCCATCGTCGTCTCGCGTCAATATGTGCGGGCACACATAGAACTGATGCCCTTGAGTGCACGGCGCATCGCTTGGGCAGAAAGGGCAGGCCGCCGACGCGAGCTAGACCATGGCATGCC